TTTCGAACCTGTGAGGCAGTGGTAAAATAATTCGCAACAGCGTGTGTCGCAACAACGGCGTTCGAATCAACATTAGACACCCGATTAGCACACAAGTAATAGGTAGTTACTAATCAATGACGACTTCGGTACTAGTAACCATTTAATTGTGTCCAAGTGTTAGACCTCTACGCACGCACAATAAAAACATTGCAATTTTATCGCAACAAAGTGGTTATATTCTCTTTGTTACTCATAATTACATTTACCATTTACAGTATGTACCTAAATACTTCATTAATTTTGTCTATGCTTCAGGTGTGAGTCAAGGGCTAATTTCAAGAATAGTAAAAGAAAGACATGCTGCAGAAGAAGCTGCTACAAAAATTGCGTTAAAGTGGGTTTATTCATGCTGATGATTTTGACACGGTAGTTATCCGGAGGGAAAGATCATGAATTTTACTCGAATAAAAAGGAGTTATCGACTTTTAAGGTTTTAAAAATAGAAATAAATTACCTACACAGGATAAAGCGAAATTCTATGAAAGCTGCTCCACAATATGAGTTTTGATATTGAAGACACGGATGTAAGCGGCATATGGCCAGGATAAAGTTGGGCGTACAAGTTCATAAAAAATCACAACTAACCAGGATTCTAATAAATTGTTGATTAGAAAACTTTTATTTTGTTTACCCCTCGCAATTAGGGGATGCCAGTGCTTTAGTAGCTTGATGATAAAACTTGTTTTATTCTATGTGTGTCTAGATATTTGAATTTTGTTTTATTAGAGTGAGCTAGTACTAAACTGTGTTTTTTTGTCAAGCTTACATCTACTAAATGTAAATGAATTTCCTATTTTTAACATAACCTTTATTTGCAAGGTATTAAATTGTTGTCTACTTTGATAAACATACAGCGTGTAACCGAGATACCTACATTATGTATATCAATTGAATGCCAGAGTAAAAGCTAATTTTCTTTATTTTGAGTACTTACCTACTATTTAGTACTTATAGTCATCATCATCATCATCAGCCTATAAGTGCCCACTGCTGAGCAAAGGCCTCTTCTCATACGGAGAAGGCTAGAGCATTAATAACCACGCTTGCTCAATGCGGGTTGGCGATTTCAGACTTATAATTAGAAATTATAAGTCTAGGTTTCCTCACGATGTTTACCTTCACCATATGTCAGTGGTGTCTAAATAATCATAGAAAGTACATATAACTCGGAAAAAGTCACATTGGTACCTACTTACTTGCCAGTTTTCAAACCCACGTGCACCCTCATGCATGAGAAGCGTGCTCCTTAACCTCCGGGCCACCACGACCCTTACTACGACCCCTCACGAGTACTTATATTAGCATTATATTATTATGAACAATGTTAGATATTGTTTAAATAATAAAATATGTTTACCTCGTTTCTTGTCTGACATACCCAATCATGGATAATTTTTATGAATTTGCAAATCTAGAGATGTTTTCCGTGTAATACTAGAGATCCAGATAGAATAGTGTCATCAACCAGGACTTTAAGAACAACTTTACCTATATAAAAAAATGTTATTACCTACCTGGTGGTACAATATATAACAAAGTAGGTACCTACCTAATGACATAAAAAATGCCAAATCGTTAACAAACAATAAAAAAATGGCTATTTGACCAATCTTTCTACTCAGTTACTAAATACATGACTCATCATGAGTGATTTGTCTATTATTTAACTCAAGATAATTTAGTGTAAGTACTTATTAACAAAACAATGCAAAACAAGGTTAAACGGACTGTCCTTTCCCAATGCCCTGCGTTCTCTCATGTGTACTATGTATTTATTTACATTTTTCTTATTATTTTATTTTATATTACTCTTTACATTTTATTATATTAATATGTATTCCATTTTTTGTATCTTTATACCTTTCATACATACATATTATATACTTATATATTTTTGTTTGTCTTTGTCTAGCCATAAAACGTTGCTACCATCCGTGCGTCACTGCAGGGGTGCCCACTGAAAATCAGTGCTGGGCGAATTGTATGCCTAGCTTACACTGAGTGGGTAACCCATTTGGCATGGGCATGTTGTAGCGTCTATTTTCTGTTTCATCTGTTTTAATCTTTAACTCATGTTTGTCTTACTTCTACTGTCACACTTTTATTGTCTTCTTATATGCTGCATCGTGCCTGGTGCTGAATAAATGTATTTTCTTTCTTTCTTTCTTTCTTTCTTATCATACCTAAGTACTTAACAAATTTTATTCTATTTTATAATTATATTTGTTATTTTTTTATTAATGGCTACAATTTAACTCCTTTAATTTCTTTAGCTACTCTAATTCAAATGTATCCATAATTTATAATCTATAATGACATTACCTATCAAGTATTCGTATGCAAGTGTTTGAAACATGACTAGCTGTAAGATCTTTTCTGTCCAATACTTAAGGCAAATAAATATAATTCTTCTCCGAGAACTTTCATATTTTTTGTCAATTTATGACCATTTTAGGTATTTACTGAAATTGGGTGCCGTGGTCACGAGTGGTTCACCAATACTCACCATTAGGTACTCACAATCACAATACGAGTCATTCGATAATTATCCAACGAAATAGGTTATTATATATCAACATTCTTTGTGGTAAGCTTTCCCTGTTAGATTGTGTGTGGTAACGTTTGAAGTGTGCAAGCAATAGTCCACGTTACAAGTGCCATGAGCTGGGCGTCCTCAGCAGAAGCGGGGCGCTGCGCCAGTCGCGGCAGGGAATAAATACGAAACACGGAACGACATCAAATGACCTTTTATTTACAGTGCACCGGGTGTCGCTTCCCTACCTCTTACTGAGTATGCGATAACAATATTCACTACAATATTTACAAATAATTATCACTCACATTGGGTAGGTAACTAGGCAGCCGAGCCTTGTGCAACGCGGCACTTGTATATTTACACGAATGTACAGTTTGTCAAGAAACAAGCCACTGCGAGTCCACGGGCCAGTAGAGCAGATGCAGGGCGGCGTTAGAAGTGAGCGCGGCCGGAGCCGGGCCAGCGCGAGTCCGAGGCGCTGGACACGTCGGTGGCGGGCGCGGGGTAGTAGACGGTGGGCGCGGCGGCGGGCGGCGCGCGGCGCGGCCCGGCCCCGCGCGCGCCGCGCTCCGACCGCCGCAGCGTGCCGTTGCGCGCCAGGCGCAGCGACACGCGCTCGCCGCACGACGCGAACGAGTCGTCGCGCGTGTGCTCCGGCGAGTCGCGCGTACTCGTCCGCGCGCGCATGCCGCCCGCGCAGAACATCTTGAGGAACACGCGCTTGAACTTCTCACCGAATATTACGTAGATGACGAAGTTGACGCTGCTGTTGATGGTCACCAGGAGATTACTGGTCTTGACGAGCGGGTCTAGCTTGTCGAACTGGTCGCCCAGAAACACCTCGAACGAGTTGGTGACCAGCGGCAGTAGGTTGCAGAGAAAAAACACGAGGACGACCACCAGGAGCATGGTGGCCAGGCCGAGTTCGCGGCGCTGCACCCGTGAGAGCCGCGCGCGCTCGGCTTGCGCGCGCCGCACCTGGCGCACGATGCAAGCGTTCAGCGCCGCCAGCGCCGAGAACGGCACGATGTACATGACGATCATGTACAGGGAGTGGATGTAGACCACGATGTACGAGTCCGTCCGGAAGTCCAGGTCTGCAGTGACGCAGTAGACAGGCTCGCCGTCCACGAAGCGCTGGATCACCTCGGCTTCGAAGAACTTGGGGGCATTGTAGGCGAGTGCGAAAGCCGCTGTCCCCAGGACGTACCAGCGGGCTCGCGAGGAAGTGCACAGCGCCTTCGCTCGGAACGGATGGCACACCGCCACCCAGCGCTCGATGGTCACGATCAGCGTGAGGTACACCGACATGGTCTGCGCGGCGTTGGCGATAGGGTACGCGTAGGGCGTGATGTGGGGGCACACGTGGTAGTAGTAGTAGCGCAGGTGGCCCGTGTACGGGAAGACGGCCGTGAGCCCGAACAGGAGCACGGAGGTGAGGATGAGCACGGTGTCGCAGGCCGCCAGCCCCACCAGCAGGCAGTTGACGGACGAGCGCATCTGCGGGCGCGACAGCACGAGCACGGAGAGCGCGTTGCCCAGCAGGCCGGCGGCGCCGATGCTGTTCAGCAGCACGCCATGCACCACGAAGCGGAACAGCTGGTCGCCGGGCTCCACGCCCGCGTCCGAGTCGCAGCCCTCGCCCGACGCGTTGCGGCTCATGGCGCCCGCATCCTGCGCTCAGCCGCGCGCTCGCCCTGCCGACAACCACACACAAACCATCAGGGGCTAATTGTTGGAGAACAATGCAAAATATAGTACCCAGCACAGACTATAATAGTTCAAAGAAACATAAACGCACCCGGGAATTCAACCTGAGACTCAATGTTTGGCAGTTCCATTACTGATAAACCCCGCGCAGCCAGCAGTGTGGTGTGCGCAATGTGTATTTGTGCATCGCGTTGCTCTTTCATTAGTATACGTGTCGATTATCACACTGACTTCTCACAGCTCAGACACACAGACAGGACTTTCTTCCATTCATCGGCAAAGATACGACAATGTGTACCGTCCAGGAGAGCGCCGAGCGCGACATGTGACCTCGGTCTAGCCGAACTAGCGGCCGGTGGGACGCGTGTGTGTGTGCGTGCTGAGCGTGCGAGTGCGCCGCGTACGTTGCTATGCTATGGCGACAATCTGTAGCAGTTTGTTCTAATAATATCTAGACATCTATATATTTAGAGGCCTATCGTACTTATGAAAGCGTGAAGGTGAACGTTTTGGATGTAACCAACAATTAGCTCGGAAGAATTATTAGTAAGTAAACATTTTATTTTGCATAAATGTTACACAATGCAGCAAAAGATTAACGGATGGTCCGTGTGACGCGACTGTAAGTAGGTCGCTATGCTGCGGCCTCGTTGGGCGGCTGTGCCATAGAGCGTGACAGACGTCAGGCGGCGGCGCGGTGACAGAGCGCGTCATGTCGGGCGCGGCGGTGGTGCTGGCGTGCGCGCTGCTGGCGGGCGCGGGGCGCGCGGGGGGCGCGGCGGGGGCGCGCCGCTCGCGGTACGGCTTCTACCGCACCATGGCGGCGGAGCAGCGCTGGGCCGACGAGGGCGCGGCGGCGAGCCAGTCGCGGCGCGTGTTCGGCGGCGAGGCGACGCCGCTGGCCACGTTCCCGGCGGCGTGCGTGCTGCTGGACCGCTACTGGTCGGCGCGCTGCTCGGCCGCCGTGGTGTCGCCGCGCTGGGCGCTCACGGCCGCGCACTGCGTGTCCCCGCACATCGCCTACGTGAAGTACAACGCGCGCCGCCCCGCGTCGCAGGAAGGCGAGCTGACGCCCGTGCACTACCTGTACCGGCACCCCGGGTAGGTCCGCGACCCGGCGCCCGGCCCCGGCGCCCGGTCCCGGCGCCCGGCCCGCTCTGAGCCAATGTTTGTTTCCGCAGGTACAAGGTGGTGCAGGAGGACGAGGGCCGCGGCGTCGACGTGACGCTGCTGCACCACGACGTCGGCCTGGTGCGCACGCGCAACGACATGCAGCTGGCCACTAGCCCCAAGCTCGACCCCATGCACGCCATGCGGCTCTACAACCCGATGGAGCTGAAGAACGAGGAAGTGCAGGTGACATGTAGTGTGCACTTGTTGGATGATTGTAGCGTAGAGTGGGTGCAGCAGTGGCGTGTCTCCTGCAGTATGTAGCTGCTCGTAGGAGCAGGGCGGTAGTGGTACCTAGGGGGGTAACGGCTTGGCCTGAGGCAGGTGCTGGGCTACGGGCGCACGGAGAAGTCGCTGCTGGGCGAGGAGCTGTTCGAGGTGCGGCTGCGGCTGGTGCCGTGTGAGCGCGGCGCGTGGTTCCACTGCGTGTGCGGCCTGGGCGCGGCCGGCGGGGGCGCGGCTGGCGGGGGCGCGGGCGGCGGGGGCGCGGGCGCGCGGGGCGTGTGCTCGGGGGACTCGGGCGGCCCCGTGCTGTACCGCGGCGCGCAGGTGGGCGTCACTTCCATGGGGCCGCTGGAGTGCGCGTCGAGCCACGCGGTCCCGGCAGAGGGCGCCACCAGCGTCTTCACGTCGCTCTACAACTACGCGGACCTGGTGAACGCCACCATCCACGACACAGAGACGGCGCTGCGCATGCGCAAGATGGACGGCAGCGCGCCGAGCACGAGTCGCGCCGCCGCACCGGTCGTGCTGGCTGCACTCACGTCTGTCCGTATAATAAACCATGTTTTGAGATGAATAAAACCTGTTGATTATATCCCAGTGTGTGACAGGCGCCGCGCGCGTCCTGCTCTCGCACTGAGCCTCTAACCTGGATAACCCGAGTCGCCAATTGATCAGATATAGGTTGTATTATTACTTAGAATGAGAACGTTATCGTCACATTAGTTAGGTCGCACGGCAGTGGCGCTACTTGTGGTGTACCTACGTGTGGGCGGAGTGGGCACTTACTGGTGTGGCGTGGCGGCGCGCAGGCATCGCTCTCTGTAACAAGGAGAGAGGATCGTTGACAAGTGTAAGGATACAGTCGCAGTGCGCCACTCGTGCGGCCGTGGCGACTCCGCATTGCTCACCACCAGGTCACTTGTATGAGATGCTGAATGAGTCTTATTCCTTGTAGTTGTTGAAGTGAGTGAACTGATAGTCCGGTGGGATACTATATATTGTTGCACTATGCTATCTACGAAACTAATTAATGCTGCTGCGATTGGGGCAGGGGCAGGATTCATAAACTAATTTCAAAAACGAACTGCAAACAAAAGTAAAAATCTGCACAAATAGGACCTATAACCATTATATGGTTTTATCTTTGTTTTTGTTTGTGCATATATATATGCTGACAGTTTATCCACCCACTGATAGACTAGTAGTCGGTGCCTCGAGTCGTAAACAATAGTCAGTATATTCATTGAGAGTTGAGACAGTAAACGTGCGTTGCATTAAACTGTTTACAGATTGTTTCTGTCACTGATTAGTAATATTTCGTTCGACATCAAACTGTGGTCAACCTATCTGTACATATTATTATAATAGTTGTTTTTTTTTACTATCTACGTTTTTGCTTTTGTTTAACCGTTGATGAATTCCCTCAGCTATGCATGCACTTGATTATCCAGCTTCTTATGACAATATAAACCCATTTAGTTCAAAGTTTTCATAAATACAAAATAATCAAACCAACCACGAGGCTATTGCTGCAAACCCTCGAGGAGGTCCCACGACCGTCTCACGGCTGTATTATCAGATCAATTCCACATTTTTATAAATTAGCAGTGCTTTAAAATATCGATAAACGAACTTGCCATGCAGGCCATTATGTATGTATGCTGGTGAAGTCGGAGTCTTGCAGCATCAACATTGTCAGCGTCAGCTCATCAATCGGTTGAGCTGAAATGTTGTATACAGGTTTGCACAACCACAAATGCTAAGACATCGACTCGCGGGTCCGCAACCAGAACTAGAGTCAGGACAGGACAGGGTTCCCCAACCATGTTACAGTGATTATATCGCCGAAACACTAGCGTCGCACCACTTGTCGCTGGGCTTTGTGTAGAGCGAAGGTCAATGAAGATGAAGCGAGCTATGCGCCATTAGCGCGCAGTACATAGCTATCGGCGCTGTAAGCTGATCGCGTCCGATGACCAAGACGGATAACTTCCTGACCGCAGTCTCGCGGCCAGCCTCCGCAGTTGTTATGGAAGTGTAGGGCGAGTCGATTGAGCCGCCAGAACACTCCAGCTTTGATTGCTGTGTCGCCGCCGACGCGGACGGCTCAATGGATTCGGCAATGAGCGGCAATTGAGCGCCACGCTGAGCGGGTCGCGGGTCGTTGCTTCCTGACTGTGTGTATACTTACTATATGCTGAGCGACTGCAGCACCGCTCACACAACTCTTATGTACTTACTACTTTACTGTTTTGCGGGATTTAACATCTGCCTTGGTCACAAGCAGACAGTCACAGGCCAGTCTTCTTGTGGCCATCGCATGTGTAACCCTCGCGAAAAGTTAAGCAAATGACAAATAAAAAGGTACGTCCACGTTAATTCCCGTAAAACAGTAAAGTACCTACATTAATATGCAACGCTAAAGTTTAAAATACAATAAAACTGTGTACCTAGTTGTTTAAACGTTAAAATGCTTTTGGCATCAATAACTACAACAGATCCCAAAAAAATGTAAACAAGATTATACACAGTCATCATCATTCAGTGCCCACTGCAGAGCAAAGCATTTTTCTGACACGGCGAAGGGTTGAGCACTGATCACCATGCTTGCTCAAGGCGGATTGGCGATTTCAGACTTGTTTTTAATCACTTGGTCACTTGTCGAAATCACAATTGAAATCGCCAGTGATTACTGAGCGGAGCGGTGGCTGGCTAGATAGAGTACGGTTGTTGTGACCGAACGGTGGTCAAAGTTGCGAAAGAGGTGAACGACCTCGTCAGAGTCTCTGGAAACAGACGGATCAGGGATTTGTATAGATCTCTTGTAATAGGAGTATTGTGTGGGTAATATAGGTACCGCGAGACATACCCGCTAGGCGAACGCCATTACTCGCACGTACCGCACACTTTTATTTTGGTTTTTCATTAAAATTTGTATCCCTCATTAAGGCTGCTAAGTATTATGATTTATTTAATTAGTATATTTTTAGAATTCGGAATAGTTAAAAATACCTTGAAAATGATTTTACAAAAAAATGTAAAAGATCCAGAGTAAAATTATAAAAATTGGAATTAAAAAGAATAACTTAGACATGGCCGCACTACAACGAGAAAATAATTCAATGCCCACAATTATCTTTTTTAAGGTGAAAAATGATGAAATGGCTTCACCCGCCCTGAGCTTGTCTCTCACCGACTAAAGCCTCGCTGTTCCTTATCCTGCTCCAGGCCGAGGCCGCGATGTACATGATATGATGTGACTGGCCACACCCACCCACAACCCCGTCGACACGTTATTGCTCATCATGTTAGAGCTCATCTGTCTCATCTGTGGTGGTTCGTTAGACGATGGGGTTGGTTCTGGCAGACCCGCGCTTACGACGGAGATCATGCGATGTCGACGCCTGGAGTGTTTTCTACTGCGGCGGCTGGAGCCTGAGGAGTATAGTTCCCTCACGTGCTCCGCCTCCGTTTTGCAAGCATCACTGCTTTACAGAAACAGTAGAAGGTTTCCAAGTTCCTCTCACTCTGCACCATGGCCTCTAGGAGGTCTCGACTAAGGGACAGGTGTCTGCCGCCGAGTAGTTTCCTGCGGGCGGCGGTGCTCAGCCCAAGCAGGGCACACCGCCATGCGCCACCGCGTCTAGATTGTTATACTTAAGTGTTGCTTTACTGTTTCGCTGGATTATCGTGCACGAACCTATTGTACCGTGGCTACACGCAGCAGTGCGGCTCTTGTGCTTGTGCCATGGCAGACCCGACGGGTACTAGCTTGTAGCCCTACATCCGCAACATAATCACAGTGGCGTTGGGATCATCCTACGAGATGCAAACTGCATCATGTATATGTGCGCCTTGACACATCTGAGTCTTGCTCTGTTACTCTTGAGTAACTCAACAAGTTTGCTCCCCTTGCTTTATAGTAATTTTTAACCCCCGACGCAAAAAGAGGGGTTTTATAAGTTTGACGTGTCTGTCTGGGGCATCCTCGAGCCTGAACGGGTTAAGCGATTTCAATTTAGTTTTTTTTTGTACTGAAGATGACTTACGTGCGAGTGTTCTTAGACATGTTTGACGAAAATCGGTAGAGCCGTTTAGAAGTTATGGGGGGTAAGTGGGGAAGGGTAGCCGAAGGACTGCAAATAGACTCGAGTGGGTTCTCAAATGAAAGCGCATGTTGATGACTTAATGGAGAGAAAATGATATAAAATACCTGTAAAAAGTATAAAATAAAATAATAAATTAGACCCCCGACAAAATAGAAATATGTAGCAGATAATAAAATGTTTGGATCGGTCCCCGTTTTTTTTAATTATTACCTTTTAAAGGAACATTAGACTTTTTGTAGGGGGTTTTTAAAATTTTTAATTTATAATTATTCACTGCAGCGCCCCCTACTAGTTTCTTTTTGTATGTAATGTCATCATCATCATCAGATTATTAGTCTATGAATTAATTTAAATTTATTAAAGGTAGTGCAGCGAACGAGTAGACGGATCACCTGATCCTGCAGTCACAATATTAGAGTTAAGTTCATTAGGGGGGTTACTGGTTCCATGATAGAGGACATTGAAAGTTTCTTAATAAAAAAAAAATGTTTTATAGTAGAAAGATTTTAGGACTAACCTGGAATCCTCACGACGATACCTTCGAGCACTCAGCTAATGCTTCATCGCCGATAATTGCACCTGAAGCAAAGAAAGTGATCGTATCAAGCATAGCTCGCTTGTTCAACCCCATCAGGCCATAGTGCGGTTTAGAAATATTTAAGAAACAAAGAAAGAAAATGCATTTATTCGATATCAAACATGAAAGCCAGAACAAAACAAAAATACAACACAAAAAAACAATAAAAAGGTTAAAACACAGAAAAACAAAAATATACAGTATCATATAGAGTTGTACAGGGTTGGCAGACACGAATGGGTCGCCATCGCCAACTCAGAGAAAGGCTTCATCATTCATTTATTGAAAACTAGCTGACCCGACCATCTTCGTACCGCCTTAGCGTAGCGTTGATGCACTACTTTATTTTGTGCACGTGACAGTTGTCTAACTTGTATGAGCACATATTTAATTTGAACTGGAATCTATAATATCCTTCAAATAAAATTGAATCTTGATTTCCCTAGTCTCGCCATAACTGAGGACCTTTAAATTTCCTTATTTTGTTAAATAAAAAACAAAATATATATCTTCATAGTCAAAGTCAAAGTCAAAAATCATTTATTCCAATTAGACCTTTACAGGCACTTTTGAACGTCAAACAAAACAAAATATACATATTATATCTTCATAGGGTTTAATAATTCCATTTTTATGATTACAAATAGATATCTCAGAGCTTGGCATTTTGAAGTAAACACTGAGTTTCGCGTTGCGTATCAGCTTCAATATACACATATATATTGAACTTGCAGTATATCGAGTTCTGCGGCCTAAGTTTGTACGTCTGCGTGGTGGCAAAGTCAATACTGAAAATAAAAAATTGCTACCATATATTTTCTGTATAACCATCCACGTTTACCAAATTGTAATGTTGGGTAGCCATCAAAACTTACCGAAAATCGATA